GAGAGGGAGGGGGAGAGGAGTGGGGGGAGGGGGAGAAGAGTGGGGGTAGGGGGAGGGAAATGGGAGGCTGGGAGGAGGCGGAAACCTTTTTTTTCCTATTCTCAATAAAAAAAAAACCCTACTTCAATCCTTTTCCATTGGTGGGTAGAACAAGTTTGCGATGCGATACAAAGAACAGAGATCGCTGCAGTCAGCACAGTTCACGGCAAGCTCTCCGTGCCTCCCTTTGGCTACTCTCTGAGGCTTTTCCTCTTTTCCACCTGTAAAGTGTGATGCTGATATTAACTAAAACCTCATACTTAAGACAAAGCAGCAAAGCAAACAAACCAAATACAAATACTCTGACCTTTTTTTTTTTTTTTTTTTTTACCAGCAATTCCACTCAGACTGGAGCAGGGATGTAAACACCATTTTGACATGACTCATCTACGATGCTTTCTTCTCTTGAGCAGAACTGGTAATATACATGGAGACCACGTTCAAAGAATCAAGGCGGATCATGCCGACACCTTTCTAATTCCTTCCTGTAGGAAGTAAAGGGGACTTTTCCGTGTGTGATGGGGTGCTGGTGAGGGTGTTCTCAAAGACTGATTTGCTCATACTTTAACAGCATCAGAAACCCAGAGATTTCTGGACACCTCTCCAGAATTGTTGTTCCAGTGAAACTGGGGTGACATCTAAGAATATGTACCTGTAACACATTCTTGGTTGGTGCTGAACACCACACTTAGAGAACCCTTCTTCTAGAACACCGATTGCTCACCATCAGGCCATGATCTGTCCATGTCCGTCATGTACCCAGGTTAAACCACATGATGGGTAGGCTGTGAGACAGTGTAGAGACTCTGTTCTTTTTCCAGAAGGGTCTGCTTTCTGGTAGTAATCACCACATGGAAGAGAAAAAGAGCAACATGTGAAATGGACACCAGAGAAAGTTATTAAACTTCTCCACTAGTTTTGCTATCACGACTCAAACAGACCAAACATCCCAGGAGAGAGTAATGTGATTCATTACCTCATGCCCCAGTGTCAAAAGGCTGTATGCTTTTGGTTCACAAAATTGGCCTAAATTAATAAAAAAGGTATGGTTTTTTTGGACAGTACTTCATGGATTTTTACAGCAAAATGCAGTAGATGAAGGGTTCAGACACAGACTAGGGTTGGAGTCTCTTTGTGTCAAGAGCAGCTGACATTTACTGGATCCTTTCTGTTTACAATGCGGTGCACCATTGACTTCATATGTATTACTTTGTGCAACCCTGAGGTATCAAATGGATATTATTAAGAAAACAAAATATTGGCAGAACAACTTGCCTGAGGTTGATTATAATGGAAATAGGGTATCTAATATTTGTTTCCCCCAACCACCTGAAACCAGAAAACCACAAAGCACCATCCTTGCTGTTCACATTCAGAAAATGGCCATATCTCCAGGGATAAAGCAAGGAAGAAATGGCAGCTTTAGTAAGTGCCACAGAAAAAGGATGGGTTGCCCTTACTGGACATCGCTTTCCTTTCATGAAACAAATATCCCACACACTTACCAGTATCTGTTTTATTCTCTTTGTGACTCTATTTCTTAAGGAATTGTTTTTATATCTTATCAAAATGATCATGTGTTGGTTTTTTCCCTGATGACATAGAAGAACTAATCATATTTATTTTAATTTACATGTAACCCTTACGGCAGCTGTTCCAGTATTAGAGAGCTAAAAGGAAAGACTGCCTGCTTCAGTCTGCCTTTGCGTCTGGTGGGACCAAGCTCCGTCAGAAAGGTCAATTTCCCACCCTAATCTGTGGGACGAATGACATTCATACTCACCCATCCAGTTTGGGGTGAAGCACGTGCATGTTTTGTGGAGATGGTAACAGGGGCTTCATTGCAGTTTTTTCCCCTCTAGCTACCACAAGCACGGGAATTAGCAGCACGTCCATCCCTTCGCTCCCTCTCTGTGCCCTAGATAAGATAGACTGAAGGTTATCAGTAATTCCCAGAGCTGGCTCTGACCCCACCTCTTTCCTTCCAGTCAAGAAAGCAGTCGGAGTGTAAGCAAGAATGATGACGTTCCCATGGCAATTATTTGGAATCTAATCTGACTTATTTCTTAAGAAGGAATCATCTCCAGACAGCAGCACAGTCTTAGAAATAATAAATTATGGATGCAAGCGCTCCCTCCTTATCACCTCTATGACTAAGAACCACAGGGCCTTCTCCCACAATATCTCATTTGTCATCTTGGATTTCCATTCAGGTGACCTTCACAATCATCTTCCTACATCCACTAAATTGAAATAAGTCAGTCATGCCATGCAATTACTTCTAACTTCTGTCTAGTTTGCTAATCTAGAAGGGGGGTTGCCTCAGTGTGTTAAAGTCATTTCCTGAAAAAAAAAATATTTAACACTAAAACGAAGAGAAAATTCTAGATATTTTTTTTTCCTGCAGAGTCATGAGAGATTTGGAAGTTTCTGGATGGTGTATGATGGCCTCAGCCTCACAAGGTAGAAATGACAGGGACCACTGATGTGTAGCTGTCAGGGTCCTTTAAATGGAGAGCTCTTTTAGAAAAAATTATTTTCATTTTCATTTCTATTTGAAAGATTCTGTCCATTTACTTTTTATTTATTTCCTTTTAAGATTCTTGAAAACCAGACGGGGGAAGTTAGATACTTTGGGTCTCTATTAGGACAATGTAATATTTCAGTTACAATTTCCCTTTGAAATATCTTACTCACTTGGTATTTGTCCTATCTATCCCGGTACAAAGGTATCAAAAACAGGATATTCTCCCGAAGCCTTCTTTTTGCTATAATGTGGCAAATGACATTCTAGCTTGTACAATTTTTGATATGGAAGTCTTGGAATTTCCACTCGTAGGTTTCAAGCCAACAAAAATACACAGAGACGGAAAGCAGGGAAATTTTGTTCTTGTTGCCCTACTTCACCGTGTTACTCCTCTGCAGATAACACTCGCCCAACAGGATACTTGATTTTAAGGATGATTTGGAAATGGAAATCTAGCTTTGTGAGCTCAGAGGAAAATATGGTAAAAATAGTTTGTGTCAGATGATAACACATCCCAAGAATGGGTGGTCCTTAAGTTATCTACATGGCTTTCCTGGACTTTCTTTGGTACAGGAAGACCAAAAAAGGTCTGGGGTTTGGCCGAGCTGAGATTGTTTTGGAAGTAGACACAGTAGAAAGAACGGTCACTGGGGACTCAGAACCCTTAATTTCTAGGGCTGGCATTCTCATTACCTAGCTACGTGCCTCTGAGGGGTCAGGTAGCCTCGCTGACCCTCGTTTTTCTCTTTCTAATGGAAATGAAACATTTGTGGATCCTGAATTCCTTGACTCCTTGTCTAGAATAGTCAATACAACTGGCAAGCCTTAGTCATTTTCTTCCAGGGTCATATTCTAGTACTTGTCTGTTGGAGGAGGCTGCTTTTTCATTCCTGGATGCTCAAACCCAAAATAATCACTCAGAAACTATATAATTTAAAACACTGCTTGGCCAATCACATAAGCATATTCCTAGCTAGGTCTTACATCTAGTATGAACCCATTTCTGTTATTATATATTTTACCACGAGGCTCGTGGTTTACGGGCAAGGTTCTGGCGCATCTGGACTCAGCCTTTTTTCTTCTAGCACTCAGTTTAGTTTTTCCCACCTAGCTCTACTCTGCCCTACTACTACTACAGGCTAATGCAGATTCTTTATTCATTAACCAATAAAAGCAACACATATACAGAAGGACTTCCTACACCACTCGTCATTACCCATAATATCACTAACAATACCTTTACACCAAGGTTCTCATTCTTTGATTCTTAAATTCACTTACTGTATCATAATCCAAATTCAACAGGTCTTAGTTTCTTTTTTTTTTTATTGTCCTTGTGTTATAGGTTACTAGTGGTGAGTGTCTGCACCAGGTGTTTCTAGGTTCTTGGCCTCCCATTTGAAGGATTGAAATAAAGGCAAACACTTAGCTCCAAGAAGTTGCTAAAAGAAGTAAGCTATTCCCTCATTATAGGCAAACATACACACAGCTCTACACAGGTAGGGTCCTAGACTGTTAACAGGTTGCTTAACAGAGAGGGGTGTGTGCAGAGCCCAGCTGGGCAGGATCCAAGTTGCTTTATAGTTGCCAGCTTTATTTGTACACTGTGTTTCAGACCCAATCGCCTTTGCTCTCTACTTCCTTACTGTTTTCACCTGGCAAACCCTCAGCCATCGGTGAATCCAGCTTGTGCCCATGCTGAACCTGTACAGCTGCAGTGAAATCTGCTAGCGTGAAGTCAACTAGTCTTTCAGACGCATGGCCACTTAACATACTTATGTCATACCAGACACAACCCCCTCGTGGCTATTTTGAGATGGAGCCATGCTCTGTAGCCCAGGCTGACTTTGAACTTGCTCACGTCTCCTGAGTGCTGGTATCACAGGTAAAAACCATAGCCAATTTACAATCTTACCTTTTTAAGCAGACTAAAAGAACAGGAAAAAAAAAAAAACAAACTCACTACCCTCTGATGCTATGTTTATTTATACTGGTGTTTACTCTGTCTCTCTGCCTCACTGATGTCCTATTGCTGGTCCATTTGCTCTTTGCCTTTCTTCCATTCAACCCACTAGAGTATAAATTCCAAGAGGAGTGAGTGTCTGTCATCACTGTGCTCTTGAGCATCTGACCCAGTAGAGGTTACAGAAAAGTTACTAAATTTTTATTTTGTCGCCACCCTTAGCATAGAAGGGGAATAGACACACATGTTCAAGAGTTCAAGCAGAAACATTGGTATACGCAGAGTAAAGCCAAGAGCCAGAGCCAGCTCTGCCTAAAGTACAAAAATAACTAAGGACTTAAAGATATGAATTGATGCTTGCTTTCTTTTTTTAACAGCACTGATGAACCCAGGACTTTGAGCATGGAAAGTGGGCATGCTACCACTGAGCATGAGAGGATCTTCTACAAAGCACACACCTTTCAAGAGGACCTCAGTCCTAAGTCCTAAGATAGAGAAATTCAAGCAATTTGATCACAATTCTTTAGCTGTTCATTATTAGGTCTAGAAGTCATCATGAGAAAAGAGAATGACTTGGGATCACTGGACCTGCCCCCATTTTGCTTTGTGGATGAGAAAATTTCGACAATGGGTGTGAAGAACCTCCACTCTTTCATCAACATTACAGGGATTAAAAAAACCGTGCTTCCCTTTTTCTGACTACTTCATTTTCCTTCATGTACCTTAAAAATGCTAAAATGGTTTTAACATTTGACTCTGGGGCTGTAGCTCTTAAAATGCTGTAGTTTCCAAAAAGAAACCTAAAATGCTGTTTATGAAAGAACTTTAACGGATCACATAAAAAAATCATCATATTTTATGGGAAGATTTCCAAAGGCCTTATACCCTGGGAAAACATACTTATGGTAAGTTCAAATGGCAGAGAAATATAATTTCTTACTTCTTTTGTGTGCTAAGCTTTGACCCCCTCCTTACACAAGTCATTTATAACTGAATACAGCACACGTGGCTTACAATGGTTTTCTTTCTCACTACTCTGGCTGTTAATTTTTATGTGTTTACTCATCCCTGTCTACTGCCAGCTCATGACATGCCCTCTCCAGGCCTCCCCTCACTAATGTAAACACGTGTTTTACAGTCATTTAGAATGGGTGAAGACCTGGATATTTTCTCAAATCCTCCGAGTGAGAACTGAAGCTTATTTGGGGTCAGATTGCATGATTGAAGGAAGGTAAATGGGGCTATCATCAAAAAACAAAACAAAACAAAACCTCCCATTTGATCCACTGGAGACAGCTACTAGATCACAGGAGGGGGCTGTTTACAGGCTCAGGGACTTCACAAATTTCCCTTCTAAGTTCCAACAGAAGCCCAAAGAAATTCTACATTTGAATTCACAGTCAAGTTGCTAGGGTGTTCCCATATGACCATATCTCTTATGCTCATATCTTTTGTTTGTGGCTAACTACAGAAGATTTGGAGTGCTCAGTGTAAGTTCTTGTGGTATTAAAATATGAAACAGTAGCTCTAAAGGCAGTACTGTGAAGCTATTAGTTGTCACTGAGAAATGGGTATGGTCTCGGGTCATAATGCCTACCATAGTCAAACTGTCCCATTGCAATAAAATCTCATGATGGCAGTAATGCTTGAAGGAAAGATGGTACCCACTCACAGACAGGTGACTTGGCATAGTAGAGTGTACCACGCAGAGATTCCTGGGTAAGAAATTTGGGTTTAAAACTCAACTCCACTGTACTCATGGTCAGGATCACTCCCTGTCTGATCTTGCCCAATCAAACTTCTGTGTTTCCTGATCATGTGACTATAAAGACAGAAACACCCACCTACGTCTCCCATAGCTCAAAAGCAATGATGACAGTGCACTTCAGTTGACTGGTTAGGTGAAGAATTGCAAAAGCATGAAGAGTTACTAGAAACTGAAAAAAAAAATGTCTTAAATTATTGCCCCAGAAAGAATGTTTCATTTATCTGACATCACTTCATTGAGACCTGAAACAGAAGCAACATCAGTGCAGGTAAAATCTGAAAATGATCATGAAGGACTTCTAAGGGCCGAGTAAAGTCTGTTGATTCGGTGATGCTCATGTTAGGAAGAGTAGGATCATCTCAAAGCAAGATGAGTTTGTAAAAAGTCACAGAAGGGTGTTAGTAGAAACTATGGGGGTCACCCCAAGGAGAACTGAAATAGACAAGAACATCACTGCTCACTTGAATTACCGTGTGCCAACACGTGACACAGGCAAAGCACCCATGGCAAAAGTCAAACTTCTCCTGTGAACTTACCAAGGGGAGAGAAACATTTTTGTGCTGAAAACCTTCTTAATACGTAACAAAACATCATCATTAAAATTCAAGGAACATCCACATCGTGTATGCATTTTGTTGAATATACGTTTTCACTCTTGGTGATATAAGTAATCTTTTTCTCCAAAATCCTTGAACGTCATAATAACTTCATGGAACTTGATTTCTTAGCATGTGATTCTCCCTATAATTTAGGTTTGCAAGATCGTAAACTTACATCCGTTCACTGAGATAGATTTTGTTTCTTGAGTTGCAGTCAGATCAATGGTCGCTTTATTGACTCACCTGTTGAGCCATGTTAAAGTCTTTTATTGACACCATGAAGGTTTTCTTCATTCTAAAAACTGCATTCCCCATTGGCATTTACTTATTCCTAATGCAAACATGGGGTCTCCATAAACACTATGTAAGCTGAACAGAATTAGAAAATGGTTACATTGCTAATGCCTGCCTAACTCATCACCCATCTTCCTCCCTCCTCCCCAGCTCTTGCCAACAGAATCTTGATTCACTTGGGGCATTTCAGTGAGATGGTGATGGAATCCACTACTTGAGACTTCTTGGGAAGCTCCTTCAAAGAGAACAGGCTCTGCTGATTTTGAATGCTTGCCCTTTACTTCTCACATGTCATGCCTGAAACACGGATGCAGTGTTTGGTGAAGGAGCAGTCGTGGTAGAATCATGAGGATTAATCGCATAAGGACTGCAGAATTAGGATTGATTTCATCTTGGTCCTCATTATACGATCGGTTCAGCTTCCAACTTCAGGCCCTTGGGCCTCTAATAAAACTACTATAGAAGATTTCCATAGAAGTAAATGGAGCTACAGAGAGGTCCTTCGGCTATGTGAGAGTAGTGATTCTCAAATGAGGAAGGATTTAAATTGTTTTCTTCACTTCCTCTGTTGTAGTTACTATTCCTCTCTCCCGACAGGAATTGTTCTTCCACTTACTTGGGTGAAAATTGATAGCAAATAGCATGGGTTTGAGTGATTCCCAGTAGTTGTTTACTTCTGAACGTCAAGGGAATGGAATTAAAATTTTATACATGCCTTTGATCCAGCCCAAAGTTGAGTAGCAATGGTTATAAAGCCAATAATCCTCTCTCATGGCATGAGCATTGTTGAAATCCCCCAGGTCACTTGTTTGGCAGCTAATTTCTTTGATTCCTGGGTATATCACCATAGCCCTAGGATATATTACCCAACTACTTTTTCTACTTGTCTGTCAGTGGGAGCCATATACATTTTCAAGAGAAAGTCCCGAAGTGTCTCTTGCCTGGAAGGGGCTGTTGGAGATTGCAGGTCTCAATTGATGGCCTTTGTCATATGACATGGCATTGTTTATTTTACGTATGCCTAAATGTCCTGGAACTTTGCAATTTTCTTGCAGAATTAATTTTTTTTTCAAGTGACACTTTTGAACTGTGGTTAGTATCTTAAAAGTTTCTTTTCTAGATTTTTCACTTTTACTCTTCCAAGTTTTATAGTCCCTAGATGCAAACCCATGCACTAAGTATCTAAGAAGTAGAAAGAACTGTGACTAAGTAGTCCTGGCCATGAAGGGAACTGATAATGCAGTGTGGGAGGTAGACCTGCACGTGTATAATACAAGGAAGTGGCTGTTCCGGTTTCTTTTTGATGGGCAAGCATTTTGCCAGGACATGGGCTATGCATACGTAAGGCTCATGGAGACAATTAATTGAGTCTTTTAGAAAGTCTTTTCACTGGAAGGAGAAAATAATAAAAATTGATTATCATTTCCTCTCCTACAACAGAAAGCAAACCTGTTTACATGTTTAAACTGGACATGTGGCTAAATAATGCAGCCAAAGAAATTTGCCACAAAGATTTATTAGACAGACCCCATTCTTCTGCTTTTAAGACTGCAAAGGACTTCTAGCCATCCAGCAATGGGCCAAATGGCTGGAGAAAACTAATTCCTTTAGTTTTCCATCAGCATCCTTTCATTTTTTATTTTAGAAAAAAATTATTTCAGAGAGTTGATTTTTGTGTCAAAAATACACTTATGAATAGAGACTCTTAAAACTAAGAAGCTCTACTTTCTCCCATTCTACAAAGAGTGGCTCATCCAAATAAGGGATATTTTCCTTTTTGTCAAAAGAGAATAATTTCTATTTTTTTAAATGCAAATATATTTCTTTAATGAAGAAAAGTCAGTGAGTGTTTACCTGGTCATCTGTCTCTGTCCCCTCCCTCCTTCCTTTGATGATCTCTCTCTCTCTCTCTCTCTCTCTCTCTCTCTCTCTCTCTCTCTCTCTCTCTCTCTCTCNTCTCTCTCTCTCTCTCTCTCTCTCTCTCTCTCTCTCTCTCTCTCTCTCTCTCTCTCTCTCACACACACACACACACACACACACACACACACGTTGTGGGCAGTTTCATTTTGCAATGATATTTGTCTCGTATCTTTTTAGGAAAGAACCCTTTCGGAGTTGCAAGTCAGGAAAAGCCCGAGATTTATGGACTTGGAAGTGCCTTGTTTCCCCTGGACTCAGAGTGACTTCAGCGCTGAGAGCAGCTGAAGGGGTTAACTTGGGGACTTGGCTGCCTGTCAGTTAAACTTTTTTCTCTGGCTCTGCCCTGGGTTTCCCCTTGAAGGGATTTCCCTCCGCCTCTCCAGCAAGACCCTTTATAAATAAGAGCAGACTTTCTATTTCACTCACACCAGCCTGGCTGGCTTTGGAAGCTGAACACTTTTCCCAGACACTTTCACGTGGGACACAAAGAAGGCTTTGGAGCTTCCATTTCGTCACCCCAGCAGCGACTTGAAATGCCTGAGAAGATGGTCACGATCTCTGGAGCCTCAACGGTACTTTGGATACTGTTTGCAGCTTGTAAGTCCCTGACCTGTTTTACAGGTCCACAGCTTTGGGTGTACTAGAAAGTTTTGCTGTAAAACTAGTTTTGACAGAGCTACAGATGGATGTGTTTTGATACCCTTTTCAAATGTTAACTGAGAAATTTGGATTATATCGGTAGTAGGTCTATCTCTTTAGTATTCTGTACTTGACCACAAAGTCAAACTTAGAAAATAACAAAATTGCGTTGCACAATGGGCTTCAAAGTCTGACTGAGCATTCTTCTTCATGGTCAGGATCCCAGCACCTTCCTCAACAGCAACATCTGGGCTTTGGGGCTGCCTGAGGCAATTTAAAAAGTAGATCCCCCAGGCTGTGTTTTAAACACTGCATTGCTATGCAAGAGAGAAAGATACAGCATGAGACAGACCAGAGTAAAGTTGCTTTTTTATTTTTTTCCCCTCTCTTGCTGTTTTAGCTCAAGCTTTTGAAGTCGATATCTCCCCTGAATATAGAACAATGGCTCAGATTGGGAGCTCCATGTCCCTGACTTGCAAAACCACAGGCTGCGTGTCCCCATCTTTCTCTTGGAGAACCCAGATAGACAGTCCGCTCAGTGCGAAGATGTGGAAAAATGAGACCACGTCCATCCTGACCATGGATCCTGTCAGTTTTGAGAATGAACACTTTTACGTGTGCACAGTATACTGCGGCTCGGTGAAACAGGAAAGAGGGATCCAGGTGGACATCTACTGTAAGTGCCCCCAAAGAGGTTTGGTTTTCTCTCATGCTGCTTGAAGAAAATATTAATGATACGTGGAGTTAAGTGTATCTAGATTCTTGGCTAGATAGTTTCAATAAAGCCAGAGACAAGGAGGAGCAAGATGAGAAGAAGAATCCGAATTTTAACCTCTGTGTTTTTGTTTGCTACAAAAACAATGGTGCCCTTGCCAAAGACTCACATCTTCTTCGGTCCAATCCTTAGCGGAAATGTGAGCATCTCATAGGCTCTGTTCATTTTTTCCTCTAACCCCTCATCTGCCTGTATTTCTACATGTTCACTTGCTCATGCATCTGAAGATTGATGATGTCTCGCTTTCTGGTATTTTCCATTTTCTTATTCTTATGCAACTTGGAGCTTAAGGTGTGCTTGCAGACTCAGATTTATGAGTATCCAAGCCTCCTCTCTAGACATAACCATAACATCCATGAACATCTCATTCACCTAACACTGATAAAGTTGAGAATTCTTGTTGTTGTTGCTGCCATAAAGCCTTGGTTTTTCCACCCCAAAGAATTTTCATCTAATAAATTAGATTTGTCTCAGGAATATGAACAGGTACCCAGATGACACCAGCCTACCCCAAACATATCTCATCCCCACCCTCAACTCAGCAAATAGAACCAGCAAAGGGGAGTGAACCCTATAGAAATGGTTTGTCTTTGGTTATAGACAGCATCTCTTCCCTCACCCCAGAATATACTCACATAGGCATTTCTTCGCGTTTGATTCATCCTCTAACTACCTTGGTGCCTTCCTACTGTGCTGAAGCCTGCCTTTGTCCATTAACCTTCACTGAAATTTCAGCAAGCCCCTTGTGGAGCTGGGCTTCCCAAGCAGCTGCGCTTGGCCGGCTGCTTTCAATTACGCTGGCTGTGTGTGCATAGTTTATGTCTGGGCAGCCTCCTGAGCTCTGTGCAAGGTCCTGTTATATAAATATCAGGAAGAATGGCAAGTTCTTATGTTACCTGTCATGAAATGTGTGGATGCCAGGCACATTTCCTGAAGACTGTGACGGACATAAATCATTGGAGGGGGAAATTTAAAATACTATGTTTTTAGATAATAAAGCATTTCCAGTTCTTTTGCCTTTGCCCACAAGTACGGTACTGTTGGAGAGTTTAAAAAGAAAAGTGAGGAACCTTCTGGATTTAATTATGTAGCCTGTTTTTTTTTCTGCAAGAGAGCCTGTTTCCCATTGTATTTAACAGTTCAGTCTCTATTCCACATTTGACTGTAATATTCTGTAGTAATGGGACACCAGTGAGCCCCCATCATGATATATGCATCATATACATATACATATGCATATGCATATGATAAACTGTGTGAAAGGGGGAGAGGCAATGTGCTGTGTTCCTCTGTGCCGGTGGGTTCAGTAGAGTTCAGTCAGAACACAGAGTTCGGCTTTTGGGGGAATGAATCCAGTATGGAGCGCTCTCTTAGGAATGAATGCCTCTCTGGTGGATGAATTCTTATCAGAGATCCCATTTTCAGAAGCCAGCCCCCCCCCCCCAAGGTCATTCTCTTCATTCTGTAGGCAGTCTTACACAGTGACACTCCCTTACTATGTCATTCTGAATGTTGGGTTTCTCATCTAGGGCTGTACCTGCACTAACATAAGAGAACAGGGTGTAATAGGTCTCTGGAATGGCAATGCAGAGTGACAGACGCATGAGCTTTGCTCCCCCACCTCACCATGCTGCGTGACAGAGGCTGGTTCTGCAATCACACTATGTCCTTATCTGTGAAATGTGGCCTCTGTCACCCAGGGTTACAGCAAAGAGAGAGCAAAGCCCTTTAAGTTACATCTATTGCAGAGTTTCAATAGATTTTAGGCTTTTCGTTCTTCTTTCCTTCAGTAACACATACTTTTTAACAGTTACAAGATTAAAACTGAAATGGCCTTTCAAAAGTGGTTAATTCTGATTCGTGATTCCCGAGTCCACCACGATCCGTGACTTGCTATTTAAACAACTGGCTATGCTGAATTAAGCCTAGTATTAACAAAAACATTTGTTTTGACTTGTGTTGTGTTAAAACATTTAGAGATGCTATCAACAGGAGCCTATAAACCTACTTATGTGTTTGCTTGGCTTTGCAGCATTCCCTAAGGATCCAGAGATTCAGCTGAGTGGTCCCCTGGAGGTTGGGAAGCCTGTCATGGTCAAGTGTTTGGCCTCTGATGTTTACCCATCTGACAGATTGGAAATGGAACTCTTCAAAGGTGACCAACTCCTGAAGACAGAGATGTTTGCAGAAGAGATGGAGAAGAAGTCTCTGGAAACCAAGAGTTTGGAAGTCCCCTTTACTCCTGGCCTTGAGGATATTGGGAAAGCTCTTTTTTGCCGAGCTAACTTATACATTGAGCCTGAGCCCCAAAAAAGGGAGACGGGCAACACACTGCAAGTCTACAGTAAGTACTTGCATGAGGAGCCCTGATCTATGGGAATTCAGTCCCAGATATGTATTATTTTGTTTACTGTTACAAGAAATGTATCAAATAGATTAACAAGAAATGTGCAGCTTTTACTGCATTACTTAAGACATGATTTTATGAATGCTATTGTTAAAAGAACAGGATACTGGGTTTGGGTTTAGAGTGCTTGAGTGTCCTGCCTCACTGTTAGCTGAGTGATGTTAAGATTATTCAACTCCTTTAGTCTCCTGTTTATCAAGGAGGAATCAACATAACACTATCTGCTTGGATTGTAGGAAGTGGGCTCAAATGATAAAATTTGTATAAAATTTTATAATAAGCCTTGAAACATTGGTTTCACAGACATACAAAATTTACAAGAGGATTACTTATTCTCTCTCTGTGTGTGTGTGTGTGTGTGTGTGTACAAGAAAGAGTGTGGTGACATGTACACACATGCAGTAGGTATTAGGGTTTGTCTTCCAGGTTTTGGAGACTGCTGGTGGATCTGAAGCTTCTTCTTATATTAGAATTGTGTCTTTAATTAACTCATGGTGTTCTGGTCAAACTAAAATGTTTTTTACTCTGAGCCCTAAGTTGGAAAGAGTTGGTGTCAAGTACACTAGGTTTACCCAATGTATAATGGAAAAAAACTTCTAACAACATTTTGAGAAACCAATCAAGATAGGGGCTATTTCTCCTCACAGAATACAATACTTTGAGACAGAGGTGTAGTTAAGCCTCTGAAAGCAGTCGTGTGAGAAAGAGCATTGCCATTTATCCATAAGAGCACAGGACTAAACTACAACCTTTGCGCAAATGCTAGCTACTTCCAGGAAGATTTCAACTCAATGAGAGACTTTTTAAAAGTAATTAATGATATTCAAATGCCAACTGAGTAGGGTGTCTCCCTCAGTAAGTGCTGAAGCTTGGATGTGCTTTTGGCAAAGATTCTTTCTCAGGATTTCAGTTCTTAGGCAAGAGACTGAACCTTGAAACTTGAAGGGCTTCTCTTAATTTCCACCTACCTGTGGCTCCCTGAAAACATCGATATCAAGAACTATAATTAACTGGTTAGAAATTAGATTGGCTCAATTTCTTTTTTAATGACTCGGTGATTCTTGACTTTCACTTGGCAGGTAAGTTTGTCAAATTTGTAGAGACACATAAGTACAGTCTATGAGAGAAATACATCATCCCCATTGGGTGAAGACAATGCTGAATGACAGCTCATGTTGTATTCTACCTTTTCAGCCTCTCCCAAGAATACAGTTATCTCTGTGCATCCCTCCAGAAGTCTTCAAGAGGGTGACGCTGTGACGATGACCTGTTCCAGTGAGGGTCTGCCAGCTCCCGAGATTTTCTGGAGCAAGAAATTAGATAATGGAAATCTGAAGCTCCTCTCAGGAAATGCAACTCTTACCTTAGTTGCTATGAGAACGGAAGATTCTGGAAGTTACGTGTGTGAAGGAGTTAATCTGGTCGGGAGAAATAAAGCAGAGGTGGAATTAACTGTTCAAGGTGAGCAGAAGGGGAAGAGGTGCCATGGTTGGGAGCTGAGCAATAGCCACACAATGGCAGTGCTGACATTCTTTCCTTGCCTTTGCTGGACGACCCATCTGGTAGACATGTGCTTCAGCGTACTTATATATTTAGCAAGCTCACACTTTTGGGGAACTCTTTTCTCTCAGAACCTCCACATTGGTTCTTCAGTAGCTCTCGTCATCTCACTGTTGTCTCAGTTCCCGACTTGGTCTCCTTCTCCTGCCCTTTGGATATTAGCATCCTCGCGCTACTTCACGCGGTCTTCTCACTCCATATAGTCAGCTACACAGCTGGGATTACCGAATACAAGCTCCCATTCCAAGTGACCTACTCTTGACCCCTCTACCTCACCATGATTCCCTCTGCCCTGACTGCCTTTCCAGCCAGCTTTCTTGCTTTTGCCTTAGCTTACGGTTTCTCATTTGAGAGTTTGCAAGATTTTCTGAAGCAATGGCATTTCCCCAAACCAAACTGGCCTTCTGGAACTTTATAGAAGCTATCTAGTCTTCAAGAAATAACTAAGGGGCATTTTCTATCCATTTTACAGATGGGAGAATGGAGTCTCAGATTAATAGTGGCCATCAGTTGACTGTACAGCCAATGTTTGCCAAGAGTTCTGCGCTCTCCATCATCTGCTATCTCAGTGTTTACCATGTGCTGTGAGGTAGTTGAGAAGCCCAGGTGCAATATAACTCATCATTTTTTTTTTTTTATTTTTTGCACATGGTCGAATGGCTTGTGGCTGCCCTTACAGAGTCCTCTTAAATCAAAATCCCATGCTCTTTCAATTGTAGCTAACATTTCAGCTGGGCAATCAAAATTATATGCGTGCATACATTGTGTATGGTGTGGTATTTTGGTCGATTTATACACCAAGGAGTGGCGAAACCAAAGCACATTCTTTAGTAAGAGCAGAAAAATGAATGTATTTGAATGTGTATGTTCATTAAACTGCAAGCTTCTTAACTCAGAACCTAGAAACTCACTGTGTTTGTGTGTATGTCTTTGAATTAAAGAGTGAGAGGCTGGTATGGTACCCGACACACAGGAAGTGTTTAACACATGTGAGCTGAATTAAAGCATAAACTATAAACTTGGACAATACATTTCTTAACCCATGAAAACGTGGATTTTAAGTTTAGATAAAGGAGAAGAAAGTAGAATTCGAACACCGTCAGCTGATTAGCTCAGGTGCGTGATCCCTATTCCCACATGGTCAGAGAAGATGTATGGCTAAAAGTGTGGGAGGCTCAGTCTCTATTCTAGACTAGCTGCATCCCGTATGCTGGGCCCCTTTTCAACGGGGCAAAGGAATCATTGTGTTCTGGGCTTGTATTATAGTGCATGAGTGACTAGCAACCTCAGTTGACCGTGCTGAAGTTGGAAGGGTCTTTCGGCCCTTTCAAGGGCTTCTCTTCAGCAGCTCCAGGCACACGCAGTGAAGGATGTCAGCTCCTTGCAGGCAGGAAGTGAATCTCCTGATAAGTTCCTCATTCTCACACTGGCATAGATGGAACTTAGATAACTTGGTAACTGTTTTGAATAATCTCTTCAAAAATCCAATAGGATTTAATTTTTATTTGGAGGTAATTTGAGAAGAAACTTCTTTGAAAAGAAAATAATACTATACCACAATTACACAAACTAAAAGAAGAAAAGCTACTTTTCCTGGTACAGAAAAGAACCCCATAAAATGGAGTATATTTTTATTGTGTGTCGAGATTTCCTCCTGTGTCTAGCTTGCTAGAACATTCTAGTGATTTTCTTTGGAGATTCATCTGTCACATGCTGAGTTGCCCAACCACTTCCAGGATTTTCAGAGGAACAACACCAAGATTCAAAATTCTTTCTCTCAAGATATGTCATTTCATCCAAGGCTGTGTGCCTGGAAGTTGGAGAAGATTTTTGGATGCTTGAGTCTTGGGTGTTTGCCCTGATCACTCAGCTTTTTACCCAGAATAAAGTCTTTTGAGAACGCATCCAAACATATTTGATGCCACCTTAATACTGACATCATTCTTTTGCTCTCAGTGTGATGCTGTGTGATCCTCAAAAATAGTATTTTATATTGGAATTCCATTATATAGATGTAGATGAAGGACTAAGGATAATGCATTTTGGTGCGGTTTCTCCTGTAATCATTTTAGATCTCATTTTATCTCCACATGAGGACAACTTGACTTAATTGTTGTAGGAAGAGAAAAACTGGACTCTCAAGTCAGACCCATCTTACAGCAAGTTCCAGTTACTCTACTTGCAAATTTAGCTCAAGCCATTGAGCACTTCTGAGCCTAATTGTCTTAAAGAAGAAAAAGGCCTAAGGGATAGAAGAAGAGAAGGGGAAAATACAGGAGCAGAAGAATAAGAAAGTAGCAAAGAAATAATAGTACCAGTTACTTACTCTTCTGGGAATTAAGAGAGATGATGCATGCATAGAAAGCAGAATGCAGCATGCTCGACATGCAGAAACTGCTGAATAATTTGAGGCCCTGTTCAACCACAGTGACTTGATGGACTACATAGAGTTGGGTTATTGTTTTGAAAAGATGCCAACCACGTTCTTGACAAATTGTTATCTACACTGATTCTGGCAGCCTGAGTCAACACAGCATCATGGGTTCCTCCTTCAAAGATGTGCTCTTATTCCTGATGGCTCCAAGATGGAAAGGAGCAATTTTTTCTTGGCACAGAAAGTCGTTGAATAGAGATCAAGGAAGAGAAACATGGAATATGGGAATATGACGCAATAAGAAAAGAATCTTATCTGTTAT